TCAGTGTAGCAATCTGGGATTGTTTGTAAAGCCTCCTCCAGAAGCGAGTCATCAGTTTCCAGTAGGTACTTCAGCGCCTTGAGTGTGAAGCAGTACACCTGGTGTGTGTACTTGCCCAGACTGAATGTCAAGAACTTGAGCCAGAGACTGTTTGGGAAAAATAAACATCTTAGCTGGAACATTTTAGCCATCCTTATGCAGTGTCAAACTATGCCAGAAATGATGCCCTTTGCATAAAGAAACATACTCTTGAATCACATTGTAAATCTTTAGAATAAGAAAGGACTTTGTATAGGAGGAGGGGGCAAGCAGGTAAAGCTGTGTGTTAGGAACTTGGGTGTGGGGATAGGAGTGTGCTCTGGCAAGGTGGAGTAAGGACAGTTTGAGTCCATATTTCATATTTCTTGGTTTACAAGCTAAAGGAAGTAAGAGCTACACACTACGGAAAATAAAACTTGGCAAACGCTGTGTACTAACACTGAGCACTTATTAAATGCCAGGCACTGTTTACTCAAGTTTTACATGTTTTAACTGATTTTGTCTGTACAACCATTCTATGAGTAGATACAGTTACCATAGTTCATCCCCTTTCCTTTAAAATCTCTGTAACCAGGATGAGTCTTTTTAAGACTTTACATGTCAAATATTAATTGGGAACATTTTTTTCTATGACAATGTGTGATATCACTTATAATCTTAGTGGTCTTAGATTAGGTGAATTCAGTACTAAAGATGAAGCTGGAGACTGAGTGAATTGTCTAGGAAAGATACACAACTAGTGTATGCGTAACGTATACAGTGACTCAGTGACTGAGCTAGAATTTGGGGTCCTGTTAGACTGCTTCATGCCATTATTTTATAGTATGCCTTCTCAGAGCTTCTTAGACATGGAGAAATATAGAAGATGAAGTGAGAAAGCATTTTCTAGGGGGTTAAATAATGTGGAAATACTAATTCAGTGTAAAAGTACAAACCAAGTGTCCTCCCCCCTTTTTTTTTCAGTCAAGAGGTAATTTTCTAAAAGTTGTATGTGTAATATTTAAAAATATGACTCAGGCCTACTTTTGCTACCTGTGGTTTTCCCTTATTCTTCCTAACCTCCAAGCTTACAGTCTAAGCATGCTTTTCTCTTCTAGACTTCTCACAGATGCATTGACCTCTCTTCCCTTGAAAGAAAGTATAAGTTTTTCCTTGAAGGGCTGGTTAAAATGTCACCACAACAGAAGTAGGGATTAGAAATTCAGTTCTGCCACAACAACTTGCAGCTATTTATCATGATGTATTGTAATAATTGGTATCTGCCTCTTCCACACAAACTGTGAGCTTCCAAGGGTATCTTCATCTTTAAATCATCAGAGCCTAACACACAGTAGGAACTCCATAAATAATTATTGGATAAATAATTTTCAAAGTCTTTATTTCCTTCCATTTTTCTTCTTGCATTTGGTTCATTTGTAGCTTTTATTGAAATTCATGTTCTAATCTCAATTTTAGAAAGTAGAGACTTTTTCATTATTAATAACACTTCCATATATAATACTAGAATGATGTTTAAAAAATTAAGCATATTTTTTCTCAATTTTATTCAATCTCTTACATTGCTGAATCACAAAGTGTCTAATAATAGTGTGACTACAGATTAAAAACATAATTTCTGTGACAAGAGGCCAGTAACTGTGACCTTAAGGATAATTCCAATCTGGATAAATTTTAATTTCCTACATTGATGAAGTTAACTTACTTCAAATGTCTTAATTTTGTTGAAATTGAATTCTTTTCTGTCACTAAGTATATTAAATGCCAATGTTAAGTATTATTGCATGTTTTAGAGAAGAGGACATTGAAGCTTTAGGAATTAAAAGCAAGAAAGCAACTCCAGTCTTTTATTTCTTTGCTAGAAAGATGCTGATCTATACGACATTACTTGTAATGAATCATTCAGAGTGTTTCTAAAGAAAAAGTTAAATGTTTTTCAACCCAAAATAAAATATAACTTGCTGCATTTTAGGCAAACAAAAATATTTTACAGATCATATTATAAACTTTATGGTCTGGAATTGTCATGGTTGGAATAGGAAATACAGCTTTAGTAAGATGATTCAGTATAAATAGGTACTGAGTCCAGAGGTAGTCTTTTCAAAAAAAGTGTAAATTGTGAATCATTTAGGAACTTGGATGTTTTCTCTAGTTGTTACATTTTGGTTTTCAGTTTGTTATTGTGTTAGTTTGCTTGCTTGCTTAGTTTGTTTGCTCTTGAATATCTATTACAGAAAAATCCTGTATAAAAATCTGAAGCTGTAGATTGGTAAACTAGAATGCTTATCCTTAAGAAAATAGAATAAAGAGGAAGATAGCCACTCATCTTAGTATTGGAAGTAGCTGAAATAGATAACTCTGTCCCTTTAGTTCCTTTTTTTTATTGTGTTCTTAGCTTGATTTATGTGAGCACTTGGCAAGTTTCATTTCTTGATGGTTGTACTAAAGGAACTATCAGAGTTATGCTAGACAATTGAAAACAGTGACTGGAGTTTTTGTTTTGCTTTGTGCCAGCAGATATTTACATATATGTATGCAATAAAATGTGGCTACATTATTTTGGCATCTAGATTTATATTTAATCTGAAAAATATTTCTTAATCAAAAAGAATTTGTTTTAGAGTAAAGAATTTTACAGGGTTTTCTAGATCAGGTTTATTTTTAATCAGGTTATAATAGTACTTATTACTACTATTATCTTTATTTTGATGACAAATGTAAAAAAGCCATTCTGACCTTATTGCTTTTTTTACTTTTCTTTTTGACTTTTTACTTCTTTTACTTTTCTAACAATTCTTTGTATTAGATTATCTCTGTTAAAGTAATTGGTGTCATCTCTGTCTTCTGATAGATACTATTAATTTCAGATGAAAGGCTTGTAAAAATCTCAGCAGTATGACACATATTAAGAAGAATGATGATTAACTAGCATTTACTAGTAAATTAAGATTTTCTGCCAGACACGGTGGCACATGCCTGTAATCCCAGCTGTTCGGAAGGTTGAGATAGGAGGATCATGAGTTCAAAGCTAGCCTAAGCAAAAGTGAGGCACTTAAGCACTCAGTGAGACCCTGTCTCTAATAAAATACAAAATTGGCCTGGGAATGTGGCTCAGTGGTTGAGTGCCCCTGAGTTCAATCCTTGGTACCATCCCGCGCCCCCCCCCCCAAAAAAGATTTTCTTTCCTTGAAGGATCAGTGGTTTCTAAAACACCAGTGTCTGTAGTGCCTTTGGTTAGTGACCTCTTAAAACCTGTTTTGGTACAAGGTTTTTTTAATATGGATTCATCAGATTAGAGTTGTCGTTTTCTTCTAGATGAACTTTTGAAAAACCAGTAGTACTGATAAAGAACTTTGCATTTTCAACATATTTTCTTGTGGTTATTTTAATATGTTGATATAGAACTTCCATCTCCACAAAATCGTATTGATAACCCATGAATGCATAACAGCATAATCCCAGACACTTAGCATTGTTCAATTTCTGTATAGGCTTTTATTAAGAAACAAAAATCAAATGACAAAGAAAAGAGAAAGAAAAGGAAGGAAAATGCCATGAATTATTGCCTAGTTTTTGCAATTCATACTTATTTTAAAAATAGATGTGCTATTACCTTGGTTTAATAAATGTGTCTAAAGAGGTAGAAAAGCTATAATTATTGAATTATCATCCTGATTTTAAACATTTACTAGACTTAAATGGAATTCTACTATGTGGCCATTATAAAAGAATGATGCAGGAATGCTGTTTTTAGGAAAATAACTTAATTGTGTGTTCCTACAGTCCTTTCTTTACTCATCCCTGGTTATTTATTTAGCCTAATTTTTGTTTTAGAACTAGAATTAGTTTTTAATAATTGGAAAGAATTAAGATCTAATTATTTATACTTTAGAGATGTCTTATTAAAAATCTTTGAAATAACAAAGAACCTGTTCAGACTAGTTAAATAACTACAAAAACTTAATCATCAAGTATCCTCTTTATACAGTTTTCCAACAACACAATGTAGTATTCACTTTTCCTGTTTTTTTTTTTAATTTAGGACACTGAAGCAACAATATCTTCAGTATTTTTGTATACCTGTCTTGCATTTATATTACCTTTTCTTTGTATTTTGGCCAAATAAATTAATAACAGGATTGAGAAACGAGATGTATTGTTCTGCTTTAAATCTTTGAGTCTTCCCTATCTCCACCCTGAATGGGTCAATACTATTTTATTCTGTAGTGTTCCTTTTAGCAGATTCCTTAGCCTGACCTGAAGTAATCATAAGACAAATTTAGCTTGCTTTTGACTATTAATAAGGAACTAAAGATTACATTTAGTATACATTTAATTGTGACCTCACAGTTAATTTAAACATCTTATTTTTCCTTCATCCATTTGACATATCTGAGCTCTTAGTGCCTCCATATCCACTTTTCACTTCTTTGGTCATGTGGATTTGGCTAATATATGGTTAAATAGCCAAAGGATGTAGAATGACTGTATCCCAGTTCATACAGGGCGGAAGGGTTTCCTAGCTATGGGACTCTGTTTAAAACCAGGTTTCCAGATATGCTAATACACATTATGCATTATCATAGTTGAATAGGAAGTCATTTTTGAAGTCTTCTCTTTTATCCCTTCAACTTTTCTCTCTCAAGTATAAGTTTGAGTTTGGGATGGTGTTTCTGGAAAGAAATCTTGAAATAGAAGGAAGGCTCCGCCAGAGCAGTGATCACAGCATTTAGAAGTTAGGAGTCTCTTACAGGGTAAAGTGTAAACCATAGTGGCTCTTATCCTCTTGAATATTAATGTATTAATATTTGCCATGTTTTTCATGAATGGTTTATATGTACCTGGAAAGTACAGATAAGCATAGAAAACTGTGTACTATCTGATCTCAAAGAGCTTAAATGGTATCAAGAAAGCCATATAGAAAAAATTAACTGATGTTTATAACACTCGCATTTTACTGTTATAGGCAATGATTCATGTGAATACCTTCTCTCAAGTGGCAGATTTCTTGGAGAAAAAGTTTGGCAACCACACAGTTGTATGATGCATAAATATAAAATCAGGTAAATTTTTTTTTTATTTTGTTGGTTTTCTTTCCTTAGCATGAGAGTGTGTGTGTGTGTGTGTGTGTGTGTGTGTGTGTGTGTTTTGTTGGTCCCTGATTGAAGTCAGGGCCTCATGCATGCTAGGCGAGCATTTTACCACTGAACTGTATCCCTGGCCCTTTTTTGATTTCCTTTTGAGATAAGGTTTCACTAAGTTGCCAGGGCTGGCTTCAAATTGCAATCCTCCTCTCTTAGCCTCCATAGTGGCTGTAATTATAGACTTACATCACTGCCTCCTTGCCTAGGTCCTAATATCTAGTGGAGGGATGTTGGTTAAGTAGAGTACCATATTTTTCTTCTGTATATGGGACAGATTTCCTGATTGAGGGTAGAACTTAATTCCAGATAAAAGTTTTTGCCCTAAAGCTTTAGTGCAACAGTTTTAGCCAAGCTGCTTTTAGTCAAGTAAGAGGTAACCGTGTTTGAATCTTAATGCTTGAGCAAAGGACCATTGCTGCTCTTCATCTTGGATACCTACCTTATGGAGTTATTCTGAGACAATGGATATAAGGCACATAATACAGTTAGAGTACTTTTTAAATACTTGATGAATTAGTTCATACTAAGTACATGGATTGGTTAAGTTAAACCTGGCCACATAACTTCTAGAGCAACCTGACTGAATGTGAAAACAGTCCTATACAGCTTTTGTCATAAATCATGTGATTTGAAGTGCCAATTAATTTTTTTTTTTATTTCAGTGAAGCGAAGAATTGCCTTGTAGATAAACATATTGCATTTATTGGAGATTCCAGAATTCGTCAATTGTTTTACTCTTTTGTAAAAATAATTAACCCTCAATTCAAAGAAGAAGGAAATAAGGTAAAAGTCTTTTATTCCTTTCTCTCAGGTATCATTTTAGAAGTTAATCAATTTAATAATTATAGGAGGAATGTGCCTCTCCATATTAACATTAAAAACTCTGTTTTACTTTAATTTTGAGAAAATTGAGAGGAAAAGAGGGATGATTGCTGTAAATGGGGAACATAAGGAAAATAAGTAGAGCATAGGTATTGGCAAGTTTTTTTTTCACTTTAAACATTTAGTTTTCAGGAATAATAAATTCTTACTGTGGAAAATTTTCTAAAAATTCCTTAGAAGACAAAATATCCCTTGTTTTCCCGTTAATATCTCGCCATATTTTTTTTCAGTCTCTCTTTTTAAAATATACTTATAATCTTTTTTTTTTTGTTTCAACTTTTTTTTCAATTAAAAAGGGCATTTCTACTTTGTATAAAAATTTTACTTTCTAAGTTATTTCCTTAGGATAGAATTTCTCAATGTGAATATTATGTTAAAGAATGTAAATTTAAATATTATTAATTGTATTACTGAATTATTTACTTTGTCTTCTAATTAGCATCATGTTGGCACCCAATTTTCTGCAACCTTTGAGGCACTGGATGATCATACTACCCATTAACAGTGTGATAAATTTCTGCTATTTTGATGGAAAATTTCTCATTTCAAAAATATGTTTTTAGCTGGGAATGTAGCTCAGGGGTAAAGCACTTACTAGCATGTGTAAGAACTTGGGTTCAATCCCCAGTCCTGGCAAACTAAGAATAAAAGTGTATCTTTCTTTGAAAACTAATAAGAATTAATATCTTTCCACATTTGATTAGTTACTTATTTTTTGGTTGACATATCTCATCATATTCTCCTTTTTATACATTTTTAAGTGATCCAGCTTCTTATCTCTGGCTTTAAATAGCATAATAGTAGACATGGGGAATGGCAAAGGATGAAAAGTAGAATACAAGAAAATCCATAATTGTAAGAGTAATAGCACATGAATTGATGATGAAAATCTGCCTTTGCACATCAATCCACCCTGTGGTAAGGAACTGAAAAATTAAGGGCTTCATAACCAAGTAGCTATTCCATAGTGCTAATGATGGTGGTCCTAAGTTCTTATGAACTTATTCCTCATAAGAATAATGGAAAAGAATAGAGTTGCTTTTTGTATTTGTTACCTACAAATGTATCTTTCATTATTATTTATACACAAAAAAATATACAGGAGAGTTATAGCATTTTAAAGACATGAGAATTATCACAATTTAAAGTAAAAACTGCAGTAAAATTTTAGAAAGTAAATTTCTGATTTCATAGCTTTTAATAATTCTGGGCTTAGAGTCATGTGACTTTCTAAAAATTACATTAATGGATTTGACAATAGTTGAAAAAGCTATAATGGCCTAGCCTATAGCCAAAAGTAGATGCAGTATGTTATATTATTTTTAAACCCTAATAATAATACACAGGTTTTCAGTTTTTATATTCTAGGGATGCCCCACTATCCCAAAGTTAACAAACAAGATACATTTTAATCTGTATGTTTTTGAAAAAGAAATTAGTTAAGGACAGTGTGTCTCAGTCTTTGAGACAGTTATCATAAAAATATTTCATTTAAAGTGCTAGTAGAGCGTTTGCCAAATTACGGTTCACATATTTTCTTGTCTCTATCCTTCAAGGGCAGAGGTTTTCTATCATTAATTGTTTTTTGTTTTGTTTTTTTAAAAAAATTATTTTTTGTTCCTAGCATAGTATGGTGTATTGTAAAGGTGTATTAATTGTTTTTTAAAGCCTCAGGATGAATATTGTTGAGTGGAATAGAAGTATTACAGATTATTTGTTTTAATTTTGTTTCTTTTTTGTATTGGCGTAAAATTTTTTTTTAAAGATTTCATAGCAAATGTTTTTCAAATTATGTTTTACTTAAAAAACTAGTTCTGTGAGAAATTCTGATCAAATGAATTTGGGCAGAGCTGGATCTCATATCTCCCTCTTAGATGGTTTTAATTTAGGTTAGGATATTAAAAACTTGAGAAGTCTTACAGTAAAGAAACCCCTTTAAGGTTGCTTCCAGCCATAGCTCAGACTAGATACTCTCGGGGCCACTTCTACTTGAAACGAATTGGATCCTAAATTTTAAAAAATATTGTAGATGTATTTCTAGACTTTGAGAAAATGGGAAATACTACTCAAAAAGAAACAAAGTATAAGGCAAAAACCAGAGATAAGAGCGTGATGGTAGGCAAGTAGTAAAGGATCAAGTAGCCCTGCAGGTAGATGCCAATAGCTATAATTCTCTTTATATAGAAAACTAAACTTTGAGCCAGTGTATTTCTCAGTAGCAATATTGGCAGCTAAAGGCCAGTAGAATAATATCTTTAAACTTCTGAAAGAAAATGTGTCAGTCAGCTTTCTGTTACTATAAGAAAGTTTGGAGATTTCAGTCTGTGATCAATTGGCCCCATTTGCTTTTGGCTTGTGGTGAGACAGCACATCATGGTAAAAATGGCTCGTGGAACAAAACTGCTCACCTCATAGCCAAGAAGAGGAGTGGGGTTTTGTGATCCCTTTTAAGGGCATGCTCTCAGAGACTTACAGACTTCTCACGAGGCTTCACCTCTTAAAGTTTCCAGCACTTTTAGATCCAAGCTATAACATTAAGTTTCAATTAGAATTGTATACCTAGGATAAAAATGTCTTTATTTTTCTTGAAATGTAGGGCATTTTCAGATATCCAAAAACTATGAGGATTTACTCTCAAACAAATTTATATTAAAAGGAGTTTCTGAAGAACAAACATACATAAAAAGGGAAAAGGAAGGGGAAGGGGATTAGCAAGGATGATGGAATGTGATGGTCATCATTATACAAAATACATGTATGAAGATTTGAATTTGGTTCCAACATACCTTATATACAAACAGAGATATGAAAAATTGTGATATATATGTGAATTAAGAATTGTAATGCAAAAAAACAAGATTACATGTATAATGGCATAAATTGGCATGAACATACTTCATATACAGAGATACAAAAAATTGTGCTCTATGTGTAATAAGGATTGTAATGCATTCCACTGTTGTCGTGTATTTAAAAAGTAAATTTGAAAAAGGGAAATATTCAGAAAAAAATGATCTAAAAATATAGTAATCAATGATTGTAGAAAATAGTAAACAATATGTATATAAACCTATCTATATAAAATAATGTTGTCTTTTTGCACTTAGTAAAAAGATAACTAAAGAATTGTCCAATTAAATGCTCTATTGTACTCTATACTAATATATTATCTTTCTTTAAAACTTAAGGTAAAGAAGTACAGTAAAACTTCAAGGGTAAAAACTAAAATAAGAGAATGAGGATGTAAATTCTAAACCAGAAAAGGAAACAAAACAGAACAAAACAAAATTTAATCTAGTGTCAAACATGTATTTATATGTGCATGCAAACACATATATACTCAGGTAAAACATGCATAGATATAAGTACAATCATGTGTATAAATAAAAAGCAGTGTATATGTGTATATATATATATATATATATATATATATATATATATATATACATGTATGTATATGATCAAACTACGTGTAGGGGAATAGAAATCAAAAAGTAAGATGGTAGAAATATAATACAAATAAATGCAAGGAACTAAACTTTTGAGCTAAATTTTTTGAGCTAGATTTTTAGATGTTTTGAAAAAAATTTGAAAACTTCCTGCTGCTTAAAAACATAAAAGGACACGGAAAGATTTTAATTAAAAATGAATAAAGATTCACCAGATGCTAAAGAAAGTTAAGCCATATCAATGCAAGACAAAATAGATTTTAAGGCAAAAACATCAGGAATACAGAAAGTTGGTAATGACTAACAAGGTAAATCATTAAAATTTTAAACTTGTAAACCATTTACTAAATTAGCTTTAAAATTAAAGGAAACAGTCTATTGACTGTTAACATGTTTGATTTTTACAATTTTATAGCTTAATAAGTCATACTGTAAAATTAAAGAATGTATTTTTCCACAGCACACAAGAAACATTTTGATCACATTTTATACCATTAACCATGTCTCAATAGTATCAGAAAATTGGTATTATTTTTTTTTTCAGGTAATGTATTTTATAGTCACACTTAACCTGACAAAAATTCTAGAATCCTACAGCAAGTGTGCAACGTTGGATATGATAATTTACATTAGGAAAAAGATGATGATATTCATTATTACTGTTTCTATTCAATATTGTATTAGAAGAGTTAACTGAAGAAAGATAAAAATTAAGCATTAAAAGAAAGAAAACGCAAGAGTCCATACGATACAATTATCTACATAGAAAAACCCAAAGAATATATGGAAAATTTACTAGAAGTAATAAAGATTTTAAGGTAGCTGATTACAAGATGAATGTACAAACATCAGTTGTAATGCTTTAATAAAGTTGTTAAAAATTAATTGCATGGGCTGGATATGTACTCAGTGGAAGAACACTTGTCTTTCACACACAGGGCTCTGGGTTCAATCCCCAGCACTAGTAAATAAAGTCAACAAGAAAAATTATTGCATATTTATATGCCAACAATATGGAGTTATGGTGTCTATAATATATTTTCATATAGTTCAGGAAAAGAGAATAATTCTTTGCATATATAGAGAGGGAGAGAGATGGAACTGACATAGGAAATATTAAGCATTGGCAAAGGATTTTAGGTGTTTATTTAACTGCCTACTTTGCTATAACTTTAAAATTTTTCAAAATTGAAAGTTGGAAAGGCAACAGCACTAAACACTGTATTGTTTAGGGATGCATATATACATGATAAAAGCAATGTAATAAAGTATAACACAAAATTAAAGACAGTGGAGTTCTTTTGACAAAGCCAGGAATTAAGACAGGGAGTGAACTACACAGGCAGGTCATTGTATTGGTAATGCTGTGTTTTGTATCATGGATTCATGAGTATTTGCTTTTTACTTTACTTTGCAACTTTAATGTGAGATATATATATATATATATATATATATATATCAACCAGATATTAAAATAGTAAAGGAAAGGAAGAACGAGATTGAGTTGAATTAATCAAAGTATGCCAAAAGAAGGAAAAACAACACACTTCTCTGAAGAGAATTTATTTAAAAGATAGGGAATGGGATAGAACAAAGAGTGATATTGTTTGGTGTAGTTTGCCAGATTTATTTCATCAAGGAAATGCTTTTCATATGTCAAATCTTAACCTTTCATTAACTTAATGGTCCCAAGATTTGGGGGGGGGGATGAAGCTTTAAGAGAATCAACAAGAATCTTAGAAGTCAATTGATAAAAGTAAACTTTATTTCATAGAGAAAATAAATTTAAATATTATTTGATTAAATTAATGAAAACATTTCAGCCTTATTTTCAGAAACAGAATTTGCTTCTTATTGACCACCCCTACTTCTACCCTCCCAGGATGTTTAACTCTGAAAGGATTTCCATTCTTTGTATAGACTGCCTGATAACAAGAAGTTGTAGTCTCCAAATTTTAATTTTTTTATACAAGTGGATATTTATCTCCTGTTTTCAAAGTAAAACCTGTCATAACTTAGAGTCATGTACATCTATTCCTATTCAATCAGGGCCCATTACTAATATGTCATTGAGAATGGATTGAAATGTTGCTTTAGCCACAAACTACAATATGAACAAAATGCAAGATGATTCCTCACCTAGTGCTACATGTTCTTCATAGGTTGAAAAGAGGCTTTGTTCCACACAATCATTCAGGGATTTCTGCTATTGGAATTTCTGATACCTGGTATTCTCTGGAGCATTCAGCTTCCTTAGTCTCTGAAGTCAGGTGAGCTAGTTCCAAAGTACACTAGAAAATGGTAAAAAATTCCAATAGCAGCAATCCCTGAATGACTTGTGTGGAACAAAGCCTTTTGCCAGCCCATCTAAAATACATGGCACTAAATGAGGAATTACCTTCTGTGTTGGGAAATTCAGCCTGGAAGTGACCCACATCACATCTGGCCATACTGCATTAGCCAGAACTAATCATGGTCTTGACTAACTGGCCGGGTTTTAGGCAATGTAGGAAAGCAGTTTGTCTCTGCTACAGATAGTAATACTAGTACTTAATTGGATTCATAGCAGGTTTGGCAGAAAGATAATTTATATAGATATGTTCATGCATCTACTTGTTTTTAGCTCAAGTTTTGTCTTATCCACATCTTAGATGTTGAAAATCGCACATAAACAACTGGTGTCATTTTTTTTGTTTTGTTTTGTTTTGTTTGGTGCTGGGGATTGAATCTAGGACCTTGCACTTATTAAAGCATGTGCTGTACCACTGAGCTATGCCTCCAGCCCCTACTTTTTTGGTGTGTTATGTACTTTTTGTTGTTATTGTTTATTTGTTTTGTCCTTTCAAGTTGAACATATAGATAACCGAGAATTGGTATATAAAAATAGATCAACAAAAACAGCTAAAGGGAACATTATTTACACAAGTTTAACCTATACAACAAACTTCTCTGTTGTCTCCTTTTTTAAATGGCAGCATGAAAACATTCCTTTTGAAGACAAGATTGCATCAGTTAAAGTGGTAAGTTTCTATACTAGTAAGCTAAGTGTTGAAGCCATATTCATTGGTCAGTTTATTTGTAGATCAACTAGTGCTTTATTATGTACTAAATAGATTTAAGTGTATTCTTGAGAGTTGATATAGTAATTGGAATAAATGTTTTATGTAAGTTGTTTCATGTAATAAACATTTATTATTTATCTCTCAAATTTTTATCCAGGAGAAAATAACCTTGTATAGTAATTTGAAATGAAAATGTATACAGGGTTAATGTTAAGAAAAGAATATATAATTTTTTTTTTTTCGGGGCTGGGGATTGAACCCAGGGCCTTGTGCGTTCGAGGCAGGCACTCTACCAACTGAGCTACATCCCCAGCCAGAGAATATATGTAAAAGTCCTTCACCTATGGAACTTGTAGGTCATTATAGTTCTGTGCATGCAAATACAGGTGGGAAAGGATAACAGAAAACAAAAAGTAGAGAAGTAGGAATGTACAGAGCAAAGAATTAAAAACAGTTTTCCTCCTTGAAGAAGAGATGTTTTAACATAGTCCTCAAGGATAAGTAGGATTGGTCAAACTCAGTGAAAGAGTCCACAAACATTAAAAACAGTATGTGTAGAAGTAGCAGTGTATGGAAAAACTCTAGAGACAAAGGAGCATGTGGAGCACTCAAGAAGCTGAAAGAGAACTGAAAAGGTACTTAGCATGTTAGTCAGCTTATGGTCACTATGACATAATACCTGGGGAAAATAACAATAAAGGAAAGATTTATTTTGGTTCAGGTTTCAGAGATTTCAGTTCATTGTTAGCTGAAGACCACACCTTTAGTACCTGGCCAGCAGGGCACATATTAGATTCAAACTGTAACAGAGCAAGGAAAAGGAAGCAAGAGAAAAGTCAAACAGGACAGGTAGAGGCCACATTCTCTACCTTCTTAGCAATTTTAAAGAATTTTGGGTTTTATTCTGAGGCCAATTAAAAGTCCTTGAATATTTAAATAAGAATGTGGCAAGATCAGATTAAATTTCTTGAAGATTTCTCTGGTATAAGTGTAGAGACTGGAAGAGAACAAAAGTGTATATGAAGAGACTTGCTTGAGACTTTTGCAAGTTTGAGATAGATGGGAGATGAAGAAGTTTTAGACTGGGTGTTTTTAAGTATTCTTTGAGAGAATGTTGTCAGTGTTTATTTTCAATGGTGGAAATATTAGTATTTTGTACTTTTTTAAAATTTATTTCTAACATTTCTCTTTTAGGATTTTCTGTGGCATCCAGAAGTTAATGGTTCTATGAAACAGTGTATCAAAGTGTGGACTGAGGTCTGTATTTGCAAATATAGGCTTTTTTTTTTTTTTTTTTGGTGAGCAACCAAATTTTTAAAAAACTCTTGAGCAACCATGTTTTTCTTCCCTTTACTCACCTGTCCCACTCTCTTGTACTTCTCCCACCTTCTTGAGAGCAATTAAGCTATACCAGACTGATGCTAACACTTCACTGAGAACAAACAGCAAGTGTAGCTCCTATGTCTTTGCCCTGTTATCACCATTACAATCCTAAGGCAGATGATGCTTATACCAGATTTTCTAGACTGAAATTTTTCTTTTACTGAGATAACTCAGCTAATTGAAACCCGAGTAATCTTTTTTCTGCACAGTACATGTTTTCTAATACATGAGCATTTTTCCATACTGTCCTTCAAATTCATGTCCAGGTACTTAAGAAAACTTTTTTAGTTGTATAGACTTTATTCCCTTTTAAAGGGAATCCCCAGCAGATAAGACTAGTATATTTTAGCTCATAATTTTTGAAGATAAATTAGATACAAGGGCAAGTATGCTGTTAACCTCAAAAAAATCGCTTAATTCTCATAAATCCTCTTTACAATCTCTGTGGTAGTCTCCATAAAGTTTCAGATCAGTCTTTTGAATATACCTGTATTTTTTCCCAGAGACATTTGCATTTGGTATGGATAAACAATATTCAGTTTTGTTGACCTTATTTTGCTTACTTGTTTGCAACAGTTTTTTTCTTTTGGTCTGGTTTGGGGTTTTTTGTTTTGATTTTTTTGTTTTGTTTGTTTATTTCCCTTTTCACAGTAAATATTTAGCACTGAACCTCTATTCAGGTTTCCAAAACACAAACAGAACAGGTAAGGTAAGGTGTACCCTATTCAAGGAATCATTGGCAGTTTTCGTGTGGCTAGAAATAACATACAAAGTATTTATTTATGTTTGGTTTTGGTGTTCTTTTTATGTACTTTATTTTGGGAAGAGTTGATAAGCAATGAAGTAGACAGATACTAGATTATTCGTTATTCTAAATACTTTAAGTTAATTTTATTGAAATAAAGACATTGGAACAAATCTTTTGAAGGTAGTAGAGAACGTTGAAAGTTTTAAACAGAATGGAGAGAGATAGTTGAAAGTGGGAGGAACTTAAGCTAAATTGTGGAGAAAATAGCTCAACTATTAAGAAGGGTTTGAGAAGTCTTGGTTCAAGTGATGCTTGAAGTTGTTTGAATGGAATAATTTGAAAAAGTAAAGAATTTAGAAATTTAAGAGAAGAGTTTGTGGTGAGTGGAATTATAAAAAGCTTCTGAGAAGTGTAGTAGAAGGGGTAGAAAGAAAAACAAAAGAGAAGTAACTGTGATATCACATGTGGGGGGGGGAATAAAATGTAGATAGTCAGTAGTGTGTCCTTAGAAACTAGATAAGATAGAAAGAAGATCCAGGATTTGGCAATCCAGAGTTTGTTAATGAGCTCTAATTGCAGTTTAAATGGATGGTGAAGTACAACTCAAAACATAATAAATTGAGGTGATGCTTGAGAGAGAAAGAAATTGGCATGCTAAGGACAGAATACACTTTTAGGTAATCTGCGGGTGAGGCATGTGATGATGAAGACTAAGAATAGACAGCATTAAAGGAAACATTTTTGAGGATAAATATGATTGAACTTTTAGGTTAAGAGAAGGAAGGAGAGTGGAAGAGGGAGACAAAATTGACATTTTGACAGTTATCATGGACCATTGCCTTAGAAATGAAAAGGGAAGTATTTAAACACCATAAGGAATGAGCTGTTGGGAACAGGGACACATTTCTTTCCTCTCTTGTCAGGTAGATGAAGTCATAAGAGTAAAGGCAAGAAGGCAAGAGCTCACGTATTAGATGAATTGTTTCTTTGTAAAGTTTGAGAATTAGACTTTATGCTGGGGAATAGAACCAACAAAAGGTGAATTTAAGACTTGGGATTCTTCCTGAAGAATGAGAAAGGGAACTACCCAGGGATGAGGATGAAGTTTTTTTTTTTTCCTTTATTAGTGAAAAATTAATGAAATCTCATTTTAATGAGAAATTTTTTTATCAAATTCTGTAATGGTATAAAATGAAGCAAGCTAGACTGAAAATGGGCCTATCTCTGAAGACAAATGATTCATTTTGTTATTCTTTATTTTTTTAGAGTACTATACTGAACATTTATTATCTTGATAATGGGAAGGTAACAACAGTCATTTTAATTTTTTATATGGGTCAGATAACAATCTTTTTAAGTTTCTTGCTTATTTTAAATTGTTTCTTGTGTACTTTATTATAATATTGGGTTGTTCATGTGGTGAAAAGTGCATAAATTCAAAAGTTGAAAAGTGAACTTTTGACTGTTCCTAGAAGGCACTAGCAATAACCTTACAGATCAGCAATAACTGAGTCTGTATCCTTGTTTTATAGGTTTTATATCTTTGTGCCTACATCATAGGGTGGTAAGAATCTATATTAAAATGAGATAATTTAAGGGAAAATAGTAAAACTACTAAATATTATATAATCATGATGCTATATATATTACTGTATGTACATATATTATAGCATAACTGCATATTGTAAATAATACACTTTTAGTGTATTATTCTAGAGATTTCTTTCCTTTTTTTGCATGGAACCTTTAATAATGATCAGTTTATTTGTTAAATACATGTTAGATTCAGCTTCTCCAAAAGATTACATTGCCTTAGGGCACTGATCTTGTATTTTATTTAACACTTACACTGTGTACCCTGTAGGCTTCCACGAATACCTTTTAATTGGTTGATATAATTGACTAAAGCTTTACTCTAAGCAATTTACCCAGAATTCAGAATAATATTAGGTCATGTTAGAGTTCAGTAGTGTTTTTTTTTTTTCTAAGAACAACAAAAGAATTAACAAGTGTTTTGCCATTCTGTATAACCACACTGCCTTGTAAGAGTTTAGGCATCCCATATATATCTTTGTTATAACAAGAATTCAGAGAAGAAGTCTAGAAACTTAAAATGCATTTAGGAGGAAGAAGAACTTAAATTTTGAGGAAAAAGGTATTCAGTCTCTGTACTGGTGTAGAATAATTATAATGGTTTTTCTTCCTTTAGGATTCTGTTGCAAAGCCCCATGTGATTGTAGCAGGAGCTGCCACAGTAAGTACTTACCTGTTATTCTACATGATGATTTTTGTTTCAGACTTAAGGTCATGCTAAGAAAAAGTTAATTCTTGATTGTATTTATATTTAATTTCTTATTTGTATTATAGTACATTAATTTTAATAGAAAATCTGAGAAAATGATAAACTAGTGTTAAATCTCAGTATTATTTTATATCTATAGTTTTATTCCTCTGAAGTATTATATGTTGAAAGTCTAATTTTATAACAGCTTTTTGTAACTATTTTCATGAAATAATTTTACCAAATTTTATTCTAATCTTAAATAAAATGGGAATTTATAATAGGTAAATTATATATTTTAAACTTTCTGTGACAAATACTGAAAAAATGCTAATTTTTACTTCTTAGTGGTCCATCAAGATTCACAATGGTAGCAATGAAGCACTTTCTCAATATAAAATGAACATTACCTCCATAGCACCGCTTTTAGAAAAATTGGCAAAGACTAGTGATGTTTATTGGGTCTTACAAGGTAAGAGATCAGTAATGAAAAAATGTCATTTTGTATATATTTTAAGGCATGTGCTTTATTATCTCCTGCTTCAAGAAGCAAAATTATTGCTTTATGAGAATAAACTTTGAAATAAGGTTTGCAAGATTAGAATAAACTTTAATTATTTGCTTTGTTTTTTTTTAAATTTAAGGAACAGATTAATAAAATATAATAAATAAATAATAAATAAATAATAAATATTCTCCAAGAACCTCAATAGGCAGAATGGCTATAGAATGTAATAAAGAGATAAATCCAAAACAAGTAAGTTTGTTGCCTCTGATTCTTTAATGTTTTACAAAATATATTTATTATGATTGCAAAATGCATAAAAACTATTAGTAAATCTGTTTTATAACATTACAGTCATTGGAAATAAATCATTTTCAAATTGACAAGTAAATTTAAATTCAGACCATCTACTTTATACTTGGTAATGAAATTCTTAAAGAGAAAGTAGTTATTAGGTAAACTCATTTCAGGAATTTATTGAATGTCCATTACTTAATGCCTAACACAATATGAGATGCCTTGGATATTTTAACGGCTGAAGTTGTTTGTCAGAAATTCTTATGATTACTTTCTAGTTGAATGTCAAGGTGAAAAGAACAAGAAAGGCCAATGATATTGTTCCACAGTTCCTATTTATTCATAGACTCATAGCATTTCTCTTACTAAAATGAAAAAAAATTATTTATAATAAATGACAAGCAAATAGACAGACCTGAGTCCTTAATATTATTTTTGAATTATGTGAACAAAGCTTAGGTGAAAAGAGAAAAATATTAACTGCTATTCTTTATCAGGCAATCTTTTATAATCAAGTTTTAACTTCTATTTACCAATATAAAAAAGTTTAAACTCTTTAAGACATACTAGAACACAAAAATGGTTCCTCAAAGCTGTGTATATGGAAAAGGAGTAAACATTCTTTAAATTTGAGGGAGCTAACGACTGACTCAAAAATTAAATGTAAGGTAGGGAATTTATTGCAAACCTTGGTCAGCTTTATGTACAAATCATTATTTGGTGCCTGTTATCAACTGAAGTTTAAGAACAAAATATAATGTATGATCCACTAACTTACATGATCACAATTTCTACTGGTAGGGATTTTATAAATTTGTTTTTAAAAATCTGTTTCATGTACAGATCCAGTTTATGAAGATCTATTAAGTGAAAATAGAAAAATGATCACTAATGAGAAGATAGATGCCTACAATGAAGCTGCAGTCAGTATTTTGAATAGTAGCACCAGAAATTCTAAGTCAAATGTTAAGATGTTCAGTGTTTCCAAATTAATTGCTCAAGAAACCATCATGGAGTCTTTGGATGGCTTACATCTTCCTGAATCAAGCAGAGAAACTGTAAGAATTCTTATATTTTTCTGTAATGGAGACTATAACATCAGTTGGTTATAGTCTTACAACATGATTATACATATTTTATTACAGTCTTAATCACTCGGAGTTATTCTAGCTAAAGATATATCTGGAAATAATTTTGCTTTGACTCATCTTGCTGAACACATAAGTGAGAATTTTAGTATAAGAGAAAAAGAAATTAGGGAAGGAAGGAAATGAAACTTCATTTATTGAGTGCTAATCACTGTTAATATATCTTCTAAGGAGGATATAAGTTCGTAGCTCACTCATGTTTGAAAACTACTGCCCTATTTTCTCACTGTAACCCTTAAGCTTATAAGATTAAACTTTGGGGAAGAGCACAGTTTTTAATATAGAAAATAATTCTTTATTTTCTTATAGCTATTATACTTTAAGCATTATTCAAGGTATAGAGTTGACAGTGAACAAATTCAGGCTAACCAATAGAAAGGGACTTATATTAAATGTGAAAATAAACCTGCATAATTATAAATTTTCACACATAGTAGAAAAGATTATTTAACAGTTGTGTTTTTGTGTTTGTTTTTTCTAATAAAGCAATGGTGCTTAACCTTTTTGAGGGTCATAAAAGCCCTTTGGGTATCTGGTAAAAAACAGTGGTTCTGTTTATCTCCTGCAGAAAAATATATGTTTGCAAATACATATAATTCTCCATACTTTAAAGGATGTTGTGGACTCCTTCAGAAATGTTTTAAGAAATTTGTTATGGAATTTGTAGGCTCGGACCTACAACAGTACCAAGCATTGAACTTCCTGAAGTCCCAGGGCTAAAATGATGAGATCTTTCTGAACACTTGATTGAGTATTTGAATGGCTAAGCTTAATTAAATAATTGATCTCAAAGAGTTTCACAGATGTCTAAACTATAAAAGTTTTCATAAAACTAGAGTTTGAATCTTCAAATAGAATCTCATCAGCTTACCTAGAAATTTTTATTATAATCATACCATGTTGAAAATTTTACATTTTATTTAACATTAGAAATCTTAAAACTGCAGAGTCCTAAATGTCCATAAGCTATTACTAATATGTCTAGAATTAATAATTTGCTAAGGATTAATTTTGTGATGGCAGTTATTTTACATTTTTTTTTAACCTCAAAAGACTGGAATGCTAAAATATTTTGGTATGTTCTGTTTTGAAAGTCTGCCAATTAAAATTCTTTGGTCCTGGACTCATCATTTTTTTTTTAACCAAAGGTTATGATCCATTGGCAGCCATGAAATCCATCTTTTTCTCAAAGGATAGTGTCATATCAAAAGCGTATTTCAAGTAATAAAGACAGGTATCATTTCCTATAAATTGCTTCCTGCGTCACATTATAAACTGAATTTTTTATCATGGATCATAGCCTAGAAGTTTGAAGCACCCTGAGCTACTCATTGCAGATTGGTGGAATACATTTATTTGCATGAGTTTTTTTGGAAATGGTTACAAAATATACAGTCCATTTTGGTTTCAGTGTTGAAAACTCAGCAATATTCATAGGAGAAAAATCAAATGTGAAATACATCACTGACAAGATAATAACCAAATAACTTGATTTGTTCACAGAGTGCAATGATTCTTATGAACGTGTACTGCAATAAGATTTTGAAGCCTGTAGATGGTTCCTGTTGTCAACCCCAGCCTCCTCTTACTCTCATACAGAAACTAGCTGCTTGTTTTTTCACCTTATCTATTATTGGATATTTAATTTTTTATGTAATTCATCGTAATGCTCATCGAAAGAATAAGCCATGTACTGATTTGGAAAGTGGTGAGGAAAAGAAAAATATTATTAATAACCCTGCATCTCCATTAGAAATACTTTTACAATCTTTCTGCAAACTTGGCCTGATTATGGCTTACTTCTACATGTGTGACCGTGCAAATCTGTTTATGAAGGAAAACAAGTTTTATACACATTCATCTTTCTTTATTCCAATTATCTACATCTTGGTTTTGGGAGTATTTTACAATGAAAATACTAAAGAGGTAAGAATCGTTCTCTTTTTAGTTTCTACTGTTCATCTTATTTCATTCCAAAATTTAGGTTAAAGAAGTAATATTACTTATTATGCCAGAATATACAAACATGTATACAGATGAGGATAAAGGAATTTTGTACTTCTACTTAGTGGATTCTTTCTTAGAAAAATAATTTATTTTATTGATACATTATAATTACACATAATAGTGGAATGCTTTGTAACATATTTATACATGCATTAAGATAATTTGATATATTTTATTCTTCAACACCTCCCCTTTCCATCTTTTTGTTCCTTTTCCCACTTAGTGGATTTTTAACTTAATTTTTTTGAAATAGTTTGGAGAAAGTTCAAAGGGTTGAGTGAAGATTGTTGAAAAGTTGGAAAAGTATGACCTGTGCAAAAGAAGTCATGACGTAGTGTTATTTTGCCTACTTGGGGATGGAGAAAAGTAGAAGCACTTCTGATTTTATAATGGTCTTTAAGCCCCATCTAAGGCTTAACTAGAATCTACCATTTTATTTTCTTTCATTTAAAAAATTATATTAACAAATGTCTGTGTGTGTGTGTGTACGCACGCACTCGCGCATGTGTGTGGGTATGCATATACATACACACACACAAATTAGAATTTACATGATGATGTGGCCACTACTCCTAATATGCTTAATTTCCTAATTTAGAATTGCTGTCATTCCTCAGAATATTTGTGTAATTGCTTTTTAAGGCATGAGTTACTTAAATTAATTCTAACTTAAAAAAATAACTCTCAAATGAGGATGATTAATCGACTATTCATCTCCAATGAGAGTATATACTAAAGTAAATTATAATAATAGAGCTGTCAGTAAAATGTAAGAGAACTGTAAAATCTTTTTTTAATCTCTGAAATTCTAAAATTTGATAAATTGTTGAATGCCATTTTTAGATTTATAAATACATATGTCATAGTTTAAAGATCACCTAATAAGAATGTAAGGACCAACTTAAACATTCAGAATCTTTTTAGTTTATAGTTTTTTTAACCTCAAAATAATTTATTAGATCTTTTTAAATAATAATTTGTAACCATCTCCACCACTCACATAATCAAGAGTCTTTTGACAAAAGCATTAGCTTTATAAACTATAAGAAAACTATTAACATAGTTGATATATATTGTTCAAATAATTACTTCCTGGTAGATTTTAAAACAGATTTTTATTTCTTTCTACAGACTAAAGTATTAAATAGAGAACAAACAGATGAGTGGAAGGGCTGGATGCAACTTGTGATTTTGATTTATCACATCTCTGGAGCAAGTACTGTGAGTATTTTAAATTTAAGTTCAGAAAATATAGGAAATAATGTCAGTTTAACATTTTTTCAGGGATACTGGTTTTTTGTTTGTTTGTTTCTCTCTACAGGTTACAGACCCTTTTTATTTCTCAATCTTTCTCATTCTCCTAACTCTGAGAATCTATTAGTTTAAAAGCAAAATAAATTTAAAAAGAAAAGCAATACTTTACTTGATTTGTATTAACTTGGCCTTAACATAATAGGAACAGCTGATGTCCCAGGGTATTATTTGATGTCATCTTGTTGAATAGCCAATGCAAGGTTTTCAACAAACTTTGTAGATGACAAACTATTTAGAATAGGCAGGTAACTATCAAAGTAAACAAATTAGTTTATATTTTACTCTTCACTATAGTTTGTGAAGTTTACCAATTAGTTTTACATTTTTAAAGTTTAAGAAGCTTAGAACTGTCAGGCTGAGTTCATGGCTCAGCGGTAGAGAGCTTACCTAGCTTGCGTGAGGCACTAGATTTGGTCCCAGCCCACATAAAAAAAACTAAATAACAAAATAAAGCTATTGTGTCCAAAACAAAAAAGCACAAAACTCTCTTTCCTCAGTTTAGAGAATCCAGATACACATGAACTGCGATTGTAGACTATGTTGGGTATACCATACTTCCTGAGCATTTCCTCCTTGGTATTGTGGAGGATCCTTCTGTTCCTAAGCAAACTCCTTTTGATGTTCCTAGGTGTCTTAAAAGACTCAGTATTTTCATGATCTGTGGCTACCTTAGATATGGTAGGGTTAGATAAAGATGTGTTCATTCTGGGTTGTAACATTTCAGCTAACTTACAGGTAAAACATGCTTTTGCAGGTGAGCCTAACAATCTGTATTCACACAGCTATTAGAGTAAGGATCCAAACTGACTTCTATAAAACATGTTTTAAAAATTTAAGAATCTCAATTTGGGAACAACTAAATTATTGTATTGCTTTATTTGCTTATGTAAAACACATATCTATAAATAGTATTTGAATCAATGATAAATTGAGATAAGAGAAAGTGCTCAAAACAGAGTAATTTGAAAATTTAATAGCAGCTAATTAAGAAGGTAACTAATATTATCACTGGGGTATTTTCAGATGACTTTAAAAATTTGAAAACAATATTATATTTCATTTTCTCTATGATTTCCAAAAACTGTTGGTGATTTTATGGATGTTTTGTTTGGAGGGTAGAAGGCAAAGGAATGAAATGTAATTTTTACTGATTATGATATATATATTTGTGGGAGCAGTGAAAATTCTGTGATTACTGCAGCTGAAAGGGGATGGTGGATTTAAGGGACTCTGGTTGAGCCAGGAAAGTAAAAGAGATCCAAGACAAAGAAAAATGGAGATGGTAAGACTTAGTTTGTAAACCTAGTTGAGAATTAATTGGATAAATCCATAGGTTCTCTAAGAAAGATGTAGGGATGAATATTGAATCCTAGAAATATCTGACATATGAATGAAGACTGAATTAATTTGGGGAAAAAAAAGTGTTTTGTTTGAAAATGCCATTTAGAGACATAATTAATTGCTGACATATTAAAAGGTGATACTACTATTAAAAAAAATTAGGTAGAAAGAATTAATGGCAGATTAACTTCCTCGATTCAGTGATTCTAGAAAGGATTTAAATCATAAAAGAATGAAGGCAATTTGGATTGTCTTATAATCATTTACCAGCCTAACATTCTAATATATCTTCTTAGGCTGCATCCCAATATATTCTAATATATAATTTAAAAAAAAAAACCTGTTCTAGAAGGATATACTTTTCTTTAACAGGTCATTTATAATGATTAATCAAATATCCCTGTTGTATTAGATAAAATCTTGTGGTTAAAATTACCAATTTCTACATTAGCAAAACATTGTTAATATAGATGTTTTTTGGGACCTGATTCTTAGCTCGTTGAGACATTAACCTCACTAAAAACTTTTTAACTGCCATGATTATTTTTATTACCTAATCTAATATTTTGAGTACAGGCACTGGAGTTGTAGCTCAGTGATAGAGCATTTGCCTCGCTGGCATGAAGCCCTGAGTTCCATCCTCAGAACCACATAAAAATAAATAAATAAAATATTGTGACCATCTACAATTAAAATAAATAAATGGAATATTTTGAGTAAAATATGCCAAACTTTTAGTTACACTGTTTTTATGCTAAAAGAGAAAAACTTTCAAAATTCAACAGAATTATTAAAATAACCCAGATGGTCTGGCACATTGTACTTGTTAGTACAAACATGCTTTAAAAATGTAATGTGTAGCCCGGTGCAGTGGCACATGCTCATAATCCTAGTGGCTTGGGAGGCTGAGGCAAAAGGATCACAAGTTCAAAGCCAAGGTACTAAGCAACTCAGTAAGACCCTGTCTGTAAGTAAAATACAAGATAGGGCTGGGGGGCTAGAGTTGTGGCTCAGTGGTAGAGCACTTGCCTAGCACGAGGGAGGCACTGAGTCTGACTCTCAGCACTGCATATAAATAAATAAAGGTCCATTGACAACTACAAAAATTAAAATAAATAAATAAATAAATAAATAAGATAGTGCTGGGGATATGGCTTGGTGGTTGAGTGCCCCTAAGTTCAATCCCCGCTATTCACCCCCTCCCCCAAAAAAGTGTATCATGGCATAGTCGCACATGCCTGTAATCCCAGTGACTCAGGAAACTGAGGCAGGAAGATCACAAGTTCAAGGCCAGCCTCATCAACTTAACGAAACCCTGTCTCAAAATAAAAAAGAAAAAAGGGGTATAGGTCAATAGTAGAGTTCCTCTCCTGTATTCAATCCCTAGGACCCCCTAACACAAACAAATATATTTGTGTATAAATATGTATGTATGTATGTGTGGACAGTAGATGATTTTGTGTTCCATTGTGCATTTGTGTGTGTGGGGGGGTGGTAGTGGTAGTGGTTTTTCCTTTCAAAGTTTCACAAGGAGACCTGAATGAAAGTTTGTGAGGAAAAATTGGGGACACTAGTAAAACAATAGAACCAGAAGTTAGCTTAATTATTAAATCTAATGAAGTTAAAATTCCATATATATATATATATTTTAATACTAAAATTTTGTTAAAAGAAACACTGAACTCATGAAAGACTTAGGAGTCCAGAAAAACAGTTGGGATTAAAAGATACTGAAGAGCTATGACAAGTAAATGTAAATGATTCTTGATTTAAGAATCCTAGATTTAAAAGCATTTTTAATCATATAGGATATTGCTGAAATAATCAGAATTTAAGTAGAGCTTGTGTAGTAGATAAAATTATATTGATATAAATTTCTTTGATATGATCACTATAATGTGGTCATGTAAGAAACTATCCTTTCTTCCTAGGAGAGAAAATGGTGAAATATTTAGGAGTGCTGCTACATGTTCTATAACATAATTTTAATTTTTTCACCATGCTATATAGATGTTCATTGTACTGGTCTTAGAACTTTTCTGTTAGCATAAGTATCTTAAAGAGTTATGAAAACTCATGCACAGTGGCGCATGCCTACAATCCCAGTAACTTGGGAGGCTGAGGCAGGAAGATTGAGAGTTCAAAGCCAACCTCAGTCTCAGTAACAGCAAGGTGCTAAGCAACTCAGTGAGACCCTATCTCTAAGTAAAATACAAAACATGGCTAGAGATGTAGCTCAGTGGTTGAGTGCGCCGAAGTTCAATCTCTGGTAAAAAAAAGAAAAAAAAGGAAAAATATTTCATGAAGTTTATAATAGGCCAACATTGGTAAAAATTTAGAAAATTGTTGTAATAGTATTTAATTCAGTTTAAGTTAGTTGTACTTACTGTTTTAGTATAACCAGGCCCAACTTTGCAGTCTCAGTCCCAGTATTAAAGCAGCTTGAAAATATGTTATAAGGAGAGTGGTTGGAGTCATTGGGGATATTAACATAGGTTTGACATTTGTTTTCAAGTACTTGTAGAGCCATCAGATGTAAGTGATTTAACCCAGGCAAATGGCTCCAGAACTAGATTCTCCATTGTGGTAGCTCTGCTATATTGACCACTTGAAGTACAAGTAGTAAAAATTAAGATGTGCTATACATTTGATATACATCACAGATTAAGTATGATTATTTATAATAAATTAATACTAAGGTCAAAAACTTTATATAAAAAAGGAATGCAAAATATCTCCTTGCATGTTGAAATGATAATATTTTTTAATATTTTGAACTATTCTGCAGATTAGAAGTCTCGAAGTCATATTAGCTAAAAAGTGACAGAACTAGACTTTGGACCTACATCTGTCTGATTCCAAAATCTACATTGTTGTAATTCCTGCTATGATCCTTAACTATTGACAATAATCTTCTCATTGATCTAATACCAAATGAAAATGCTATTTTGTTATCTTCATTAAATGTACTTGTTATGATGATTCAAGGTATAGTTTATTCCATCTTATGTTTTATCTATTTTGTCAACAGTTTTTGCCTGTGTATATGCACATTCGAGTCCTGGTTGCTGCATATCTGTTTCAGACAGGGTATGGACATTTTTCATATTTTTGGATAAAAGGAGACTTTGGAATCCATAGAGTATGTCAGGTAAGAATGGATTTTTTTTTTTTTAATGCTTTTGTGCCTAACTGTTGGGAAAATATAAATATGGTCATTTTAAGAACATGAATGATTAGAATTTATACAATAGCATTTCACAGTTGCATTTCTGTATTTGGTAATTTAAGATAAATAATTTATTAGGGATAGAAGGAAAATATAATTTAGAGAGTATTTATGAATATATAATAAAAGCACTGATCAACAAGGAACCACATTTTTAATTTAGTTTTGTAGAGATATCCACAGTTACCTGGAATTATTATTATATTCTGTTTTTTCTCTCTGAGGATTTCTGTTTTCTACCTCATGCTAAGTAGTTTCTAACCATTATTTTTTTTTATCCTCTGTTGCACCTCTTAGTTATCTTCATGTTTATAAATGAGGAAACTGAGGTTCAGAGAGATTAAATAATCAAATCACATAGTAAGTGGGAGAGCACTATTTAAATCTGCTCAAATTTTGTCTTTTGAGTAACTTCAAACAGGTATCTGAAAGACTGTTATAAAGGCCCCAGGGACATTTTTTCTCTTGAGTAATATTACTTCATAGTTAAAACAACACTGAATTTTAATCCCAAATTGGGTAAAATGACATCATTTGTGTGAAAGGGGCAGGTATGCTTTTTTTGAGGTCATCTAATCTCTGCTTACCTATAGCCCTATGAAGGAGGGTTACTATTTTTCCCCCTACATTTAACAAGGTGGCACTTGTAGCCTGTCAACTCAGGCTAGGACTTTGCTGGGATATAGTTAATATAAGGATGCATCAGCTCTTTACAGTGATTGTTAAAAAAAAAAAATTAGTAAAATGTACTGTCATTTGAGTCTGAATACTCTGTCAGAGAAAATCTCTTTGCTTTTCACATATACTTGAAATATAAACCATTTTCTTCTCCTTTTTAATAGGTCTTATTTCGTCTCAATTTCCTGGTAGTGGTGTTATGTATAGTAATGGATCGGCCTTATCAATTCTATTACTTTGTTCCCTTGGTCACTGTATGGTTCATGGTCATATATGTTACTTTAGCACTGTGGCCACAGATTATCCAAAAGAGAGCAAACGGTAAGTATACTTTCTTATTAATTTCTTTCAGTGTATTAAATTTCTCTTTAGTCACTAAAAGCTATTATTTTTATTAAGTAGACAGTTTATATGTAGTTCTCATATTTTGAAATTAAAAAAAAATTGTTTCTAAAATGTAAGTCACTCACTGTAGAATATAATGTAATATAACACTCTAGAATACTAATTTACATTTATGTTTAGTGTGTGTTTTTTAAATTTAAATTTTTTGAAACAATTCATGTGTTAATTGAAACAGTTTTCATACTGCCTTGTAAAGAGCCAGAGTAAAAGCAGCTGTAATAGAAAAGGGAAAGCCAAATATGGCTTCAGGCCCCTCTTATTAGCACCTTTTATATTTCTTAAATATATTGAGATTTTGAGTAAACATTCACTTGTAAATTTTTTTGTCAAAGTTTAAAAGCATTAGCATACTTTATCATCTAGACAACCATTTAAGCAATTATTATCAACCTGTTTTATATATAAGTAACGAAAGTGTTCAAAGGGTTGTCATTTTCAGATTTACCATACCCTGTTATTGATCATGTTCAAAGTAAGGCCAAGGTCATTTATGTAGTGCTTTTTTCTCTCAAGATTATATCTTTAAAATGAAATCTTCCCCTTTTTGGAAAAATAAAGAAATTTTTATTTTTACAAATGTATCTAACTTTCAAACAAATTTGTGTATCAAAAATATTTTTCCATTGGTGTTCATTATAATAACGAATAATTTTCAAGAGTTCCATCCTCTGTTAAAATCTGTTAGTGTCTTTGTGCAGTTTCTATTATGTAATTTCTCTATTACAAACCTAACATATTAATTATAAACCTAGCATATTAATCAGCTAAACAATCAATATGCCTAAACTTTGAACACATAACTTAAAATATGCATGTTAAAATATGTTTTATGATTAAATCCTAGTTTATTAGAGAGGTTAGACTCTCTTCTTGAAACTTCAGTGTTATAAGCAATGTTACCTAAGTTATATTCAGCATGAGTTTTTAATAGTACATTGAGCATATCATTCTATATTGTGTTGTATCTTGATAATGGACAGGTATAATTGAACCCAGATGTAATTTCTAAATATATTTATACTACATGAACAGCAGGTACATAGGGTTTCAGTTATATGTTGTAGCCTCATTCATCACAAGAATCCTCCGCCTTTTTTTCTTTTACTGTAATTTATACTATGTAGTTATATTTTGCATATCCCTATAAGCAGCCTTAAATTATTTTAAGAACTATTCAGGGTATAAATATGTTAAATTAAGAATATTTAATATGCTTTCTAATATAAATTTTTATTTCTTAGTAAACTAAATATTTTCTCTCTTAGGAAATTGTTTCTGGCATTTTGGCTTATTGTTGAAACTAGGCTTTTTGCTGTTATGCATATGTTTTTTGGCATATTCTCAGGTTGGTACAGTCTTTTCAGTTTATATTTTGTAATTTATTTTAAAGTTCAAGTCTATTAAAGTATGTGAGAAGAATCAGAGCTTTTTTTTAGCTTCATTTTTTAATGACTGTAATAAAAGTGTCACTCTGTAGTTGACTACTCAGTATAGTTCTTTTGAGACCTATCTACTTTTGTTACCACTGTTTTTGTTGTAAGAGCAATTTAAAGCTCTTCCTCTGGCAATTGTTCAAGATCCATTTTACTTGACTTTGATCAATCAAACGTTTATTGAATGCCTCTTATAAGACACTACTCTAAGTGGAAATCAAAATTCTCTTGACAGAATTTGTAACTTAGTTTGTGCATTATTCATTGCATCAAACTGTAACTTGATTTTTCTGTAACTGCACGAAGTAAAATTTTGGCAGTTAGTAAAACCAACTTAGGTGAAGAGGGATTTGTATATGTGTCATATGTTTAATTTATTAAAATTTTTGGTCATCATCCCATCTCTGACCTTATATCCCTCTATTCTGATGGTTGAGATTTTCTGTTATTTTGTCAAGGTGACAGTCTAACTGCTGATTAAATCTACCCTACAGGCATGCTATTTGGGCAGCATGATATTTATAACAAAATATTTTAATTTGAATGCCTATAGTTTTGACATATTCTACAGTTTACTCACATCTCCAACACTGTTTTATACCTGATTGTGTCAGGTGTAAATACACTGTAGATACATTGTGTATGTGTGTGATTCTGCAAGGATGTTTGGGGGAGAGATTTGGGGTAGGAAAGGGAGGATTTTGTACTTATTTTCATACTTGAAAGTACTTAAAACATTTTTATTCTGTGACATCCAAGGTTTTTTATAGGAGATAAAGTAATAAGAAAACAACTGGGCTAGGGTTGTGGCTCAGTGGTAGAGCACTCACCTAGCACGTACAAGGTGCTGGGTTCGATCCTCAGCACCACATAAAAATAAAATAAATAAAACAAAGATAGTGTGTCCAACTACAAATAAAAAACAAAATGTTAAAAAAAAAAGGAAAAGAAAGCAACAGGCAAATGTATAAAAAAAATAGGTAACAGGAATGACTACATGACATTAATTCATTAATATTCCCAACACTGTGAGCACTTCTAAGGGAAATAAAAGAAAGCTGATTGAATAGAACATATAAAAGGGTTTCCTCAGCTTTAGATCAGTGTTGACCACTGGATAACAAAAAAGCACATAGTCTAGTGTAGTCCACTATCTTTTTTAAAATGAATGCTCAATAAATACTTGTTTGTTGGTCACATAATAAAAGTTTAGATTTTAAATGTATCAAATATATTGTCAGATATGCTACATATGTGATCTATGAGATACATATATCTGTGTTTAATATAGATATATATAACATAGCTATATTTCAGTGTATTTCAGGTTGCAACTCTGTAAAAATTATCCTTAATTTTCTGAGCTGTAGATTTTAATAGAACCTATTTTTAATGTGCTATATGCATTTCTTAATTCTGTGCTTAAGTGAAGAGTATTGCATTTTGTTATAAAGTAATAAAGTTCTTCTGACCTAAGGATCCATCATTATCTAAAATATTATATTATTTTCATTTATTTCCTTGTTTTTTAATAACTTTTTTAAAGCCATATGCTGTGGCATTAGGGATAAAAATGGAGCTTTCCTTAATAGAGTTTGTCATCATTCCTTACCCTAGAAATTGAGGTTTTGTTCTCTTTTTTAAAAGACTTCATTAATGTGCAGGAATGTACCCAAGACTTCTGCCTCTTCATTCCCAGATTTTCCAGCTGTCAGATTACTAAGAGGGTACCATTCACTAACTTGACCAAAGTAAAACTATAAACTGTTTCAAAGGCTAGTAATGGCATTTGGGTAAGGTGACTAATTCAGAGCACTCTTTTAACTCCAGTAGTTAATTATACATTACTAAGGATATTTAGAGGAAGAAAAACTATATTTTAACATTAACAATCATTCTTTGGAATAGTATTAACATATTAGTTTAATTATTTTGTATTTTTCTGGTAGATTAGTAAATATTGTTTTGTATACTAGACCAAAAATTTGAAAAGAATAATTTCCTAATTACTACAGTTTTTTAAATTTTTGCAGTGTCAGTAGCTTTATGTGAAATCCAAATCAGTTGAAAAAGCTTTAAGTCATTTTATTAGCCATGGGTAAGTTTATTTTAAAATGAATTTCAAATGAAGTCATATTTTCATATGAAATGAATAGAATTTAAAAATTGTGAATGAACTGTTATTGATCCTAACTTTAGAAAACTAAATTTTACAATAGGCTTACAAAGCAAGTATTGACATATATCATCTTAGCTTAATATTTTTTTGGATTCTTTTCTTAGGGTGCATTTGAGAAGATCTTTTCTCTTTGGCCATTGTCCAAGTGTTTTGAACTGAAAGGGAATGTATATGAATGGTGGTTCAGATGGCGGTTAGACCGTTATGTATGTATTTACTTTATGATATTTTGCCTTTTCAAATTATACTGTTACAAAATGATTTGGAGATTTTCTATCTAGTTTTGATTAATTTTAGAATAAAGAAACATTGATTTAGTAAGGCAAAGCAGTCCAAACCCACCCATGCATGGGTGTATTTATTAGCAGGAAAATGTAAAAATGTAGTCTATAAAGTATGTGACTTTTGTCTGAGTTATAATTTTAACTTATAGGTGATTCACATTATCTATATACACACAAACATACATTTACTAAGTTTCAGTGCATGTCCTAGGTGTTAGTGTGATGAAGTATATATTAAAGAAAGAAGATGTACCACTGGGCTTCTAAGCCTTAATAATGTAGTTTAAAATCCACTATAACTAGTTATAGTGGGATACTAAACTATGTGATATGGGTTTTATATGCAAAGAAGAAAAGCAGTGAGTTGGATGAACTTAAGTTCCATGAACTTAATTTTGAAAGATGGTTAAGATTTAACAGGCTGAGAAAATATAGAACATCTAGTACAGCACTGGAAAATACTAAACAATAAATATTATTTCATTCCTCTTTTCTTTCCATCTTTTGACTCTCTTTTCTTTTTTTGTCCCTTTTTTAAATTGATTTTTTAAAAATGACAACAGAATGCATTACAATTCTTATTACACATATATACCACAGATTTTCATTTCTCTATTTGTATATATAGTATTTTGACACCCAACTCGTATCTTCATACGCGTACTTTGGGTAATAATGTCTATCACATTTCACCATCCTTGCTAATCCCCTGCCCCCGAGACTGAGACAGGAGGATTGCAGGTTCAAAGCCAGCCTCAACAACAATTTCTTTTTTCTTTCAACAATTGTTTTCTTACTATCTATTCTGTGACATTCCTGATTTTCAGTACCTATGCTCTTTCCAATGCATTTCCAAACTGCATAAATAAAAAAATCTTTGCTGAAGTCTCATGGGAGTACTCTACATGATATACCTATCTTAGTCTTTTTGGGTTACCTTAACATCATACCATAGACTGGGTGGCTCATAAACAATTTAAAAATTTATTTCTCTTGGGAAGTCCAAGATAAGGTGCTGGCAGATTTGGTGTCTGGTGAGGGTCTACCTTCTGTAGACTGCTGTCTTCTAGCTGTGTCCTCACATGATGGAAAAGGTAAAAAAGGGCCCTATAAGGCATTACTCCCATTCATAAAGGCTCCATCTTCATGACCTTTTCTTTTCTCAAAGAGGCTCCTCCTCCAAAACTATCACATTGTGGATTATGTTTCAACATTTGAATTTGGGAAGGGGGACACAAATATTTATTCTGTAGTAATAATTCACATTGTCTTTGTGTATGTATGTATGTGTGTCTTTTTTAAGACTACATACATACACAAAAAAGTTCATGTTCTTTTTGCTCCAACATTTTTTTCATTCTTATGTGCATATATTCCTTTTTAAAAGAATGATTTAGTGGTATTGTTTTTTATTTGACTAAAAGGATCAGTAAAAAATGTTTTATCATTGTTGGGTATATTTAAATTTTATCATGTTTCTTTAGGAGATTTTCTTATTACTTTTAAATTTTTAGGGCTGTAGGTATAGATCAGTAACTTAGCATGCTGGGCTCAATTCCCAATACCAACAAAATTTGAATAAGTAAATCGCCTTTGTTACAATTGCTAACTTTAGAAAACTAAATTTGATTCTAACTTTAGAAAACTAAATTTTAGTTGGGATGTTGAGTAAACATTGAGTGGGATTGCTGAAAATGAACCAGGTTTATCTCATAGTTTTTTGTTTGTTTTGTTTTTAATATTTATTTATTTATTTTTATGTGGTGCTGAGGATCAAACCCAGGGCCTCACACATGCTAGCTGAGCGCTCAACCACTAAGCCACAACCCCAGCCCTTATCTCATAGTTTTGCCAGACATGTTTGCCTGTCTGTTGCTGGTGGTTTCTTAACTATCATTGGCTTTATTTTGTTGTTTAAAGTTTTACTTTTGAAGTTTAGCTTCTTGATAGGAATTCCAAATTTTAAAGCTTTCAACCTACTTACTGTTATTAATATAGTTCTTATTAACCAGATATATTTGCTAGGTTTTGAAAGTATCTATTAAAAACAGATTTTCTCTTTTTCAGGTAGTCTTCCATGGAATGCTGTTTGCTTTTATTTATTTGGCTTTACAGAAGCGTCAAGTACTTTCTGAAGGAAAGGGTGAACCTCTTTTTTCAAACAAAATTTCAAACTTTCTATTGTTTATTTCAGTAGTTTCTTTCTTGGTAAGTTTTAAGATGTAATCTTCTCATTTACCAAAATCTTAAGTGGTATAGCAAATGAACTTTAAGATATAGGAACATAATCAGTTATTTTTAATAAGTAGATATATACTTTTAAAATTCCATTTTTAACCTTATAGTTTCCAAGTGGCACATAAATTCTAAAAAGAATAATTGAGAGTTCAGTGAAATAGAAGTTTCAAAAGTTATAATCAGTTTGGGACATAATATATTATAAGGTGTTTGACATGAGAGCTCATGTTTGATATCACTGCTTTATGATCACTATTTCCAGAAAAACACAAATCTCTTTTCTCCTATTTTCTTGTGTGCACAATAAAGTTAGAATATTGATGAATACACCTGCAGATAGTTGGAACTATATTCTTTTAAATGAAGAAAACTATTTAAAAATTGTGAGAATTTCCTGTTTAAGAATTACCTATTTTTGTGAACTTATGGGTACATTTTTTGTTGTAGACCTATTCCATCTGGGCTAGCAGTTGTAAAAACAAAGCAGAGTGCAATGAACTCCACCCATCTGTTTCTGTGGTGCAGGTAATTATCTTGATTTAGGGAAAATTTTACTCCTTGATTTTTTATAACAACATAGTCTTTAGAGATAGAGATTTCAATTCAAATTCCAGAAAAATGTAGGGAAATAGCTTAATCTTTTCAAGACTTGCCTTCCTCTGTAGTAATAGAGTTGTTAAAATCTATCTCAGAATTGTGGTATTAAACATGTAGAAATCATGTAACTCAGTTTTTGTCACTTAGAAAATGTTAATTCTTAGGCTGGGGATATAGCTCAGTTGGTAGAGTACTTGCCTTGCATGCATAAGGGCCTGCGTTCAATGCCCAGCACCACCAAAAAAAAAAAAGGAAAGTTTATTTTCTTTTTCTTTAAAAACCTGTCCACAAGAAAATTACACCCTAATAGAGATATGGGTCAATAAATATTTAACACTTTTTAATTCATTTAACAATTTTTTATACTATATGTTACATATTATACCGGGGATGTGGTGGTTACCAAATCAGGCATAGTTTTTACCCTCATGGTGCCTACATTCTTATCATACAGTTAGTAATCATATAATAAATACATAAGTCTGAGCAGAAATACGTAATGCTATAATGGAATATAATAAGGGTATGAGACCTACTTGGAGTTGAGGGGAAGGTGATCAGGAGCCAGGGATGATTTTCCTGGGAAAATTAAACTGAGAATGAAAGGATGAAGGCACAGTGGGAAGCAAAAACTTAGGCTTTGTAGAGGAGGGGAGCATGGTATATTCAAGGAACTTGAAGAAAGAGCTCTGAGGTTGGAACTCAGAGAGCCAAAATCCAGAAAAGTATGTACTTAGTACAGAGATGGAGACAACTAAAATAAGATTGCTATTTTGCAGAGGTATAGCACCTCTAGTAGTAAGTACGTTGTGATTAGTATGGGGATGATTAAGTACAGATTGCTTTGGAAACATGTAGAAGTTCTTTCTAACTTATCTTGACTTCAGAGCAGGGTTCTTAGAGGAAATAGTGTCTAAGTTGAAGTCTGAAAGATGAGTAGACCAACCTAGAGGAGCAGGGAGAGTTCCTGGAGAATCTTCTCTTAAGTCTTCTTTTCCATACAGAGACTATTTTGTTTCCTTTAAACCTTTGTAAACTAAGTGGCACCAAGCAGATGATAGATTTTTCCAAATTCAACTGATAATGAAATTTAATACTATATTCAAGTAACATTTTTATGACTTCTGTAGACAGTATTAGTAATGCTTTGTATATCATATATCAGCCCCATGACTCACAGGATGAGAGGGAACATTAGCATTACAGTGCACCCATACAGAAGAACATAAGAAAAGCAAAGGGAGAGGGTACCAGCACATAGAATGACACTAATACATGCACTCCATCCTCCATATATTCCTGTTTTCACAGTTACCATTTTTATGAGAGCTTTAACTTCTCCATTGCAGACTAAAAGAATGGACTGAAAACATACATTTTGAAGCAAGCACAAGTTACATTGACTGCTACTTCTTTATGTGTGTGCATATATATATGCACACACATAAATATATGTATATTTAGTTGGATCAATATAGTCTTTATTTCATTTATTTACTTTTATGTGGTGCTAAGGATTGAACCCAGGGCCTCTCCCGTACAAGGCGAGTGCTCTTCTGCTGAGCCACAACCCTAGCCCAACTGCTACTTCTTTTCAAGAAAATGTGTCCCACATTATAAAAGTCAACAGCTCCAAGTAGCTTCATATACTATAGGTTACATTCTATTCCAGACCATATTTCACTTTTTTTGTTGTGTGGTGGTGGTGCGGGGGATTAAACCCAGGGGCTTGTGCATGCAAAGCAAGCACTCTACCAACTGAGCTATATCCCCGGCCCCATATTTCACTCTTTAAGGTGTGAACAGATGTATGTATTTGTGTGTGTGTGTGTGTGTGTGTGTGTGTGTGTGTGTGTGTGTTTGTGTATTGAGAGTGTATGTGTTATTTGTATATCATAGGACATTGTGATTTTATGTCATATAAGGTTTTGTGTGTGTATAATATATATGTAATATAATATATATTCATATATACATATATATATATATAAAATATGAGGGAGCTCCTTTAAAATTTTAAATATATTAAAGATTTCTAGTATTCTATTGAAACTTATTTCCCTGACCCATCAGAAGGCTTATGTATTAGTCTTGAGTTCCAACATTTTGTGTTTGCCTATAAGTCTGGTTAGAAATTTCAGAAAGGGCTTACCTGTATAACAGGTGATTAATCATAAATAATGTATGTTAAATACTTAGCACAGTACCCAGCAAGTGATAAATAATGGTCAGATTTTAAACATTATCATTATGTTTGTGTTAAAGTAATAAGAATAATTTTTCAGACCTCACCTTTGTTCTCCATGGTTATTATTTCTTTTGAGTTTCTCCTCCAGTGACATTCCTAAGAATATGACACAGTGAAAGATTTGAACATACTAAAGAAATGAAATAAATCTTGGAAAATAATAGGTTACAGACAGAAAGAAGGGAAGAGTCATGTGACTGTCTCCACATTTTCTGTCCCTCAGGCTAATGATTTATATGTGTCAATTTTTCTAGTATTTTATATCACAACTTATATAATATTTTAAATATAATAGTCTATTAAGTAGTTTTATGTTTGAGAATTCTACTTAGGTCTCACCTTTATGATTTTTTTTTAACCACTTATGTATACTACCTATACTATTAATTACCTAATGTTTCTTTAAAGGACTTGCAATGTATGTTATAGTAAGTACCTCATATAATTTTCTCACTTAATTGTAACATCACCTTTTCAAAGTTAAATGTATATGTGTCAAATTCGAGAACATAAAGAACAAACATTTTACTGAAAGGAAAAACTTTATGCAAAATACTTTTTAATAAATATGTTAATGAAATTTACCTGTATGGTTTTCCCTTAGATTTTAGCCTTCATCCTAATAAGGAATATTCCTGGATATGCCCGTTCAGTTTACAGTTCATTTTTTGCTTGGTTTGGAAAAATTTCATTAGAGGTTGGTGCATTCATATTTTGCTTTATCTTTCACAACCAGATATTGTGTATGAGTGTACAATGTGAGTGTGTAGACCTGACACACCGTTTTAAAACCAAAACTATTTTATTTATAAAATTATGAAAAGACTCAGAACTTTTAAAAACATTAAAGTACTTTAGAATATTTTTAAAGCCTTATTTTAAAATGACTAGATGAAGATAATTTCAAAACATTCTTCATAATGTCTTAAGCATTTGAGCACAAAGAAGATACTGAGATCAGAAAAGAAAAATACTCATCCAGATATAAATGAAATCAAGCTGATGGGATTTTGATATCTTGTTCATCTCCATAATTAAACATGTTTCTGTAATTCAGATTATTGATGCTTATCATAATAAAATTTAGCTTTATTATGATTGAAAATTGTGGGAAAATATTTAAATTCATTACATTTGTGTGAGATGCATAATATAATATTACCTGTGAAGTCAGTTTAAGTAGATATATACTGTATGGCCTGAGTTTTATTATTTAAAACAGAATGTCTTAAAACAATAGAATTTATATCATAATCAGATTAATTTTAATATTATGAAGTTTATTAAGTTTTCTTTTAAAGTAGGAAAAATTTGCATTCTCGAGTTAGTCTTCATTTTGTTCAGCTTCACTTGTAAGAAAGCATACAGAGGTAGGAATTCTGGAGAGTAAATGGCACTGGACTTTTCAGGGCCAATATTGAGTAAATTAAGAAAAACTGTGATTTATTCATGGACCCTATGTACATGTCTAACTTCAAATATTTTTTCTCCTAGCTGTTTATTTGTCAGTATCACATATGGCTGGCAGCCGACACAAGGGGTATTTTGGTACTCATACCTGGAAACCCTATGCTCAACATCATTGTCAGCACTTTTATCTTCGTTTGTGTGGCACATGAAATTTCTCAGATCACTAATGATCTTGCACAGATTATTATTCCTAAAGATAACTCATCTCTCTTGAAAAGGTTGGCATGTATAGCTGCGTTTTTTTGTGGACTACTCATCTTATCGTCCATTCAAGATAAATCAAGACATTAGGTTCCTAAAATCTCAAAAAACTTAAAACTCTTCAGGCTTACTTTGTGTTTGACTGGAGACGAGAGGATCTATCTGGAAATACAAATGTCTGTGTAAATACAAACATGTGGCAAAAGAACAGTTTAGGGATGTCTGTTGAACAGTGTGGTTGTATATATCGGCAGTGTACATACCTGATGTGAAATACTAGAAAAAATTGATGAACCAGAATGCAGCATAGGAGTGCATGTGAAAAGTCTTTTCTACTGGAGCTATTTTCCATTTATAATGATTATAAGTTAACTTATGAAGGCAGGGGAATGTTTACCTTTCCAGTACAAAGTATAGATGATTTAATTAGCCTAGTGACACCACTGTTTTGATATTTACTAAATTTGTGGTAATAAGATTGTCTGTGCCTGTCTTCATTGTGGAACTTCTACTTCATTGAAAACTTTTCTACTCAAGAATGACTTGCAGTATTGTGTTCTTATGTGCAATGACATGGAATGATGAACAGTATGCCTTTAATTTATATGTATTCATGTTCTGCTTGTTCATGTTTGCTGACATGATTTTTGTCCTTACTGTAGTTGTCAGGTATACAAGTCTAAATCTTCGTACCCTTTGTCTCTCAGAATTGTTCTAAGGCTCCATGACAGGATTTTATCATTGTTGATGTTGTCATTGCTTCTTTTTGTAAAAAGGCCAAATTTTCCTTTTCAGTGCAAACATACACCCATTTCTTTTCCTTAAGCTCTAGCAGTGTAATACCAGTTACCCTGTGGTTTAATGTTTTCTCCTCCCTAATTAATTTTTGTATATTATTTCCAATGTTTGGAAAGTTCTTTATAACCATTTTGGTATTTCCTATTATCCCTCCCATTAAAAAAATATTTATCAGTCTAAACATGTGCAGTAAAGATTCACTTTGTTATGATGGAGATGTTTGTCTGTAGTAGAATTTTAAGTAAACTGGTGACTTGGGCAATAAATGTTTTTTGTTTGTTTTTTTATAAGCTAACTGTTAGAGGTAAATGTTTATTTATCTGTTGTACAGATTTGATTATGATTTTTAATGTTTGAAAGATTGCACTTATTTGCTTTTACTATGTGAGGTAAAATATATTTTCTGTTCACAGTATGTAAAAATGTGGAGTAATTTAAACAGTAAATAAACATTCTGTGGATGCTTATTTTTGTATTGGCAAAGGATCAATTAAACTACTTATGTTCATTTTTTTTAAAAGCTCGATCATTAATAATTGGTTCAGGTTTCTAATTCATTTCTTTAATTTCAGTGTGCTTTTTCAAACTCATTAAACAGGAATAGATCTCTAAGTTACAGTGAGTAAGGAATAATTTAGTTGTTAGGGCTTTTAAGGATAATCTCTTCTTCTACCAGAAAGTTTAAGCATCATGGTATATATGTAATTTTACTTGAAGATTTTTAAAATTTAATTATCATTTCTGTAGCACTGGGTTTATGTGCTACTGATATGTTTCCACTAATTGAGGAATATTTCTTGGACAGAAGTGTGTGTTTTTTTCCTTTTCTCTCTTCTTCTGCCCTTACTTAATCTTTTGACATTTCCCGGATAGACAATTGTAATGATTCATTGCTCTGCCTCCTAGACTGCAGCCTTATAAGTAGAGAATAGTACAGTTATAAATCAAAAACTTCCAAGTACTGTGATCACATTATTCTTGCTCATGTAGCTTGCCAATGAGTAGAGTGCATTTTAATTTAGCTTGTAAGTTTTATCACCTGAAAAAGATTTTTCCTGATGAAACAATTGAAAAAGAAAGATGACCAGTAACTTACATCTTTCAGTAGTGATTGCCATGTGATTATATATAAGCTTTTCTCTCTTATTTGAACTCAGGCCTAAAACTTAACTGGTAAGCCCTATTTCTTCATCACATGTTCTTATTTAATATACAAAATTATTTTTTAGGTGTAACTATGTTTAATAATTAAAATATAGCATATTTATACTTAAAATTATTTAATATGTCTTGATAAGTAAGAGTTATTGTGGAAGTGGGCACAATGATATGCATCTGTGTATGGTAAATGTTCTAAATTTTTTTCTGCATTGATTCATGTACTGACCAGTTTCTTTACTCAGTCATGAGATTCTTCAAATAAGATGTTTAAAAACATATTTGGATATGCTAAAATTGAGGTAAAAACCACAAAAGTTTCTTTACTTAGTCTTTCTGTAATAAAAATTACATTCAGAAATCAGCCATCTGGCTCCAAAAGGAACTTGCCTGACTCAGTTCTACCTGGATCTTTCCTTTTTCCTTGTGCCGTACCTTCCTATTTTGTGGATAGCCAGCAGGAGTATTCAAAAGTCAGCCTACACCTAAAATCACTTATTGTACCTCTGAGAAAGATCATATTAGTTACTTTAGGTGCTCGTAGTAAAATAACGTTAACATCTTACTGGTCAGTTATAATATAAATTAACTATTAAAAATCTTTAAATGGGTGAATTTTTTTTCCCCACAAATATTATATTTCAGGTGTCAGCATAGGAAGCTCTTAAGCTTAGGTGTGTCTGTAGATTTTAATTTTTTTTAAACTAAATTGTAAACCATAAGGATGACTAGATGGGTATCCATAGGACAGAGGGCAGGGCCTTCATGGCATAGACACTAAATGAAAGTCAGTGTCTCAATGTTTGCAGTTTCTAGGAGAATACCCTTCTTTCTTTAAATTTGTACTTTTATCAATCTAGCAAATCTTGGGGAACCAAGTTAAAGATTTTTCTGTTGAACAATATTAAATTGCTATTTGCTCTCATTTTTTTACCTACAAAATTGATGTTTTGTCAGCTTTTTGCTGCTATCACCAAAAGACGTGACAAGAACAAATTTAGAGGAGGAAAAGTGTATTTTGGGGCTTATGGTTCAAGGGGTGTCAGTCCATAGATGGTTGACCTCACCATTCTGGGCCCAAGGTGAGGCAGAACATCATGGTGAAAGAGTGTGGCAGAGAAAACTGGCTCAGGACATCACACCAGGGAGCAGAGTAAAAACTCCCCTCACCACTGACAAAATATAAACCCTATGAGCATGCCCCTACTGACCCTCCTCCAGGGACACATGAACATCCAGTTGATCCCTATCAGAGGATTAATGCATCAATTAGGTCAAGGCTCTCATAATCCAATCATTTCACCTCTAAACTTTCATACATTGTCTCACAGAGGAGGTTTTGGGGGACACCTTATATCTAAACCATAACAGACAGTTTCATATGTTCCAACCTAATAGCTTCTCTTGCTTAAAAAAAAAAAAAAAAAGAAGAAGAAAAGAAACTTGATTCATTACCTGAAGAATTGGTATTAACTATTTCAAATATTGTAAATCTTAACTTTGGTTATATTTAGGATAGTTTCAAATATTGACAAAAACTTACGACATTCATTTTTGAAAAGCACTTTTAAATATTTTTCTTTTAACAAAATTCCTTCTAGTATCTTATAGAAATAGAAATAGAAAATTTTCTTAAAAGGTGCATTAATAAAGTAGTATAAAAGGCAATTTTTTTCAAAAGTTGAGAGCATGATAAGCTATAAAACAGATTAGAAATAATTTATCTAAATCCTATTTATAATATAATTTTAAAATATCCTAGAGAATAAAAATGAAATAGAGCAACATTTTAAAAGGCATTGGTTCCCAGGAGTTGTTTTTATCTTTTGTAATTCATAATCTCCATACGTAAAGATAATTATAATTTTGTTAATTTTCAGCTTTTTGTATTAGCTTTTATATCATTGATATCTAGTAGTAACTATTAAAACACATTTAAAAGAATTTTCTAATAATGAAAATTGCTAAAAAATATTGTTCTCATAAAAATATTGGGTTTTTTTCTTTTTTTCTTTTTTCTAATTCTAGAACTATCACAGGTTGGTAACTTGTAATCTCCAATGACAATAATAAAGCCAGTTCTTAGCTAATGGCCAACACTCTCCATATTATCACCTATCTCTTCTTAATAAGAATATCAGCTCACCATAGACAATACTGCTTTTCCCCTTCTTAGTTTTCACTCTTTTTATCTGCCTAAATCAATCTGATTTTTAAAAATATTTTTTAGTTGTAGATGAGCACAATGTCTATTTATTTAAATATTTATTTTTATGTGATGCTGAGGATCAACCCAGTGCCTTATGCATGCAAAGCAAGTACTTTACCACTGAGCTACAACCCCAGCCCAAATCCAACTTATTTTTAAAAGTTGAATTTAAACTTTGTTTACATAATCAGCTTTTTTGCTGCTGTGTCTAAAAGATCCAACCAACACTATTGTAGAAGAGGAAGTTTATTTGGGGGCTCACAGTTACAGAGATCTTAGAAGACAGCCAGCTTCATTCCTTAGGACTCCAGGTGAGGCGGAACATCATGGAAGAAGAGTGTGGTGGAGGGAAATGGCTCACATTGCTATCAGAAAGCAGAGAGAAGGGTCTCCACTTGCCAGATACAAATATGAACCCCCAAAGCCACACACTAATGCTCCACCTCCAGCTAAATTCCACCTGCCTCCAGTTACCATTCAGTTAATCCCATCAGATAATTGATTCACTGATTGGGTTAAGACTGTCTCATATGCCAGTTATTTATTCTCTGAACCTTCTTGCATTGTCTTACGTGAGCTTTTAGGAGACACCTCACATCCAAACAATAACAAACTTCATCTCTGTGAAACCAAGTACTGAATCATCTTTTAAACTATTCTAAGATTCATCATCTGGTCCCTTATTTTTGTCCTATCTTCCATTCCTTAAGTAAGGTTGCAACTCCAGGGTAAAGATAGTATGGACACAATAAGGTGCTGTCCACAAAGTAAATATAGAAAGAAAGCCTTGACAATGAACTAAGAAGTTCAGAATTCATTTTTCCTATCTTAAAAAACAAAATTCCTCTTTGTCCCTTGTGTTCCCAAAGGAATGCTGTTTTCAAGATCAATGAGAACGTACATTGCTAAATCCAACAATCATTTCTAGTTGTTATGCTACTTGACTCATGAGCACATTTAACAGCCTCCTCTTCCAAGCATTTCTTTGCCATGCTTCCATGACAACCCCATTTTTGTTTTATTTCTGCCCTGATAGGAGATAGCCATTCCTTCAGTCTCTTCCTACCCCCTACCTCCAAACTGGAATTTCCAAAGCTCAGTCCTCAGATTTCTACCCATACCCATTCCTTAAGTGATGTCAACTAATCATGTGACTTTAAATATCATCTCTGTGCTTATGACTACCAATTCTATACAACATGAACCTTTTCCCCAAAATTCAGCCTCACCTCCACCTGCTTACTTTATCCCACCTGAAGAGCTAAAGGACATCTCATATGTAAGAAGCCTGAATCCAAACCCTAATATCCCTATTACTGTCCTCACAAAAACAGACAAATAAAAGCTCCCACAGTCTTTCCCATCTTAGCAAATAGCAATTACATAGTTTAGACAAAAGATTGAAGGGTCATTTTGATGCCCTTTTTCGCACACCCCATGTCTTGGGCTAAATAGTCTTTCCAGCTTCCTTTTCACAATGTATCCATATTTAGCAACATTTCATTACCTCCAATGTGATCATTTTGTTCCAAAACAGTATCAACTATTGTTTCTTGGATTAATGTCCATAGCTGACATACCTAACAGTTAGTTTGATTTTTAATTTTCCATCTCCCTCCTTTACAATGTGTATTTCTAAGGACAAGAATCTTTCTGTTTCATTCTACTATAGTATCCCTGGCTGCTTTTAACAATGCTTCTCTCAGTTACCATTTCCTGAATTAGTGAATGCTGTAAAACAATTCCACTTACTAACCATAGTTTTTGAAGCTGCTAGACAGCCCTGCATTTGATGAGACATTTGGGAAAAAAAAAAATTCTTTTGGGATATGGACAAAAGGCTAAAGATATATTCTATTTGGCTGTCATAAAAATATAATTTAATATATAATATTATATAATTTAATGTATAATATAACCCCAATAAAGTGGGGTCTTTCTACTCGATGGCAAATGCCTGTCATAGCAAAGCACCAGCCATACCAGGTAGAGCATAACTCGCCCTCACTATGGTTCCTGACATTTCCTTTTTTCTCACTTTTTATTGGGGTCAAATGCGAGGTGTCATTTGTTATTGTACTTCACTAATTTTTTTTCTTGAAGTAGTGAATTATTTCTTTGCACTCAAGTATCTGTTAAAGTAAGAAGATGAAAAAGTAAATCAAGAAAGCCATGAGAGGTGGGATTGTGGCTCAATG